CCTTGTTTCCCAACCTTTACTTCTCCAACTCTCATGAATTAAAAGAAGTGGATAAATACTTATTATTTTTTATGCTTGTCACTTTTCTAAGATTTTGGTTGTTATCTGAATTCTATTTATATCTTTGTGTTGCTTAATTTGTTCAAAACAGGTATATATTTTAATGACTACCTCTAGTTATGACATTTATGTCTTTGACTCTGTTACCAAGTTTATGTTCCAGATCTGGCTACTATAAAGTCCAGTCAACTCAATCATGGCTACCCCATATTTTGCAGACTAGAACTGTGCTCTGGAGGGTTTTTCACAGTTGTAACCTTTCAGAAGAGGACTGAGAGCTGTTGTCAAGACACCCAAGGGCTTGTTCTATTAGTAGCTGAACACCTAACTTGTGTGTTCTTCTCAGGGGCACCTATTGTAGTTAGCAGTCACTTCATCTTTGAGTTTGGCTATCAAAAAAATGATCTTTCAGAATTTACTATAAAACAAGAGACTGAGGAAGTTTCCCTATGAGTAAAACAACACATATGCAGTTAATTGATGACCTTTAAAAGAATTATTTTTGCGTTCTAGATTTCTTCATTGTAATCAATTTTTTAGATAGGATATTGGAACTCTGATTTGGTAAATAATTAATTCTTACCATCAGAAAAGGTACTGTGTTAAAAAAATCTATGCAACATATTCTGTTGTGTTGAGATTAAAAAAAGAAATACTAAAGAACATATTCTTATTACTCAGAATTCAAGGATGAAACAAAAATGATTAATCTTTCTGTAGCAAATTAATCCAGGTGAATCCATGAATAGAGAAAAGTGGGATGTTACCTACATATTATCTTTTCTTCATGATTTCAAAGATTGATTTTGTTATTTTATTTCGTTCAGAGGTTAGAAGTGCTATTTTTTTAAAATGGTGAGATTTAATATACAAATCATGTAAAGTTATTTGAAAATGTGTAACATATTAATTTATCGTTACTAAAAAATTTCACATCCAGAATGTTAGGCAAAATAGAAAAATTAGTTGACTTTAAAAAGTGATACATGCACACCCATGTTTATTGTGGCTTTGATCACAATAGCAAGGAGTTGAAAACAACCTAAGTGCCCATCAACAAATGAAAGGATAGAGAATCTGTGTTATATTCACACAATGGAATCCTATACTGCATTGAAAAACAAGGAACTCATGCAATATTATTCAAAATGGGTGACTGTGGAGGACATTATGGTGAGTGAAGTATCTCAGTCACAAAAGGACAAATCCTTCATGGTGCCCCTGTTGTAAAGCAGGACTGACCTCAGGGTTGGGGCAGACTGAGAAAGATTGGTTCAATAATGTATACTGCATTGAAACAGATGAGGGAGAAAACTTTTTAAAAGAGATATGTGATTAGGTATTTTTGTCATGACAGGAGTCTAGAGCGAAGGCTACATGGTGGAGTGGACCTGGGGAAGGGTTTGTAAAATAGTGAAAAAATTTGTCTTTTACTTTTCCAAGAGGGTAGTGTACTAAGGGGGAGGGGAGGGAGGGGAGAAAAGTACAACAATGAATGAATGGAAATCCAGTCTCTGTAAATTTTTGCTGAAATTAATGCTGTTGTTGTTGTTATGTGCTGTCGAGTCGTTTTCGACTCATAGCGACCCTATGCACAACAGCCCGAAACCCTGCTCTA